TGGAATTGTTAAAGCGGGTAGTAAGTCACAAACTGGAAAACAGGAGGTTCAAGCTAAACATAAGGGTGAGGGTGATGGAGCATTGGAACTGGCGCCCAGAGAGGCTGTGGAATCTCCTTCTCTGGAGACTTTCAAAACCCACCTGGATGCATTCCTGTGTGGCTGCCCTAGGGGTTCCTGCTCTGGCAGGGATTTGGACTAGATGATCCCCAGAGGTCCCTTCCAACCCCTGACATTCTGTGATTCTGTAAAGTATGCAAAGTGGTATTCATACCTCTCTCACTCTGCTCCATATCTGAAGAGACTAATCTATTATTTGTTAGGAAAGTTCTATAGATACTACAAGGATTCATGGTTTTACGTAGTAGAATTCTATACAGTGAAAGCTCCTAAAATTAGCTTTGAGAAAATGGTTGAAATGAGCAAGTATATTTAGTTTATTTTCGTGCCAGAAGTATTTCTTCACCAATAAATATACATGAAACCGATTTTGAGCTCAAACGGGATTGTTTCTTTTTTTTTTTTTTAGTAGATGGGATGGCTAACAGTAGATAAGCAACAGAAAGAGAGAGGTAGAAGACCAATATGGAAAAGACAAGCATTTCACTGAGAAACTAAAGGAAGACAAATGTTTCATGATACTTTTGTCAAAGTCAAAATTACTATCCTAATGTCTGAACTTGGAGCCCATTTCTGTTTGTCTGTCACTGTAAATCTAGAGTGACCTATGTAAAATCTTAAAAATGATTCTGCAAATTCAAGACTAAATTGAGTGCTTTCCCTTTAAGGGTCAGATTTAAAGGAATACCATCCTTTGTTCTAACAAAATAGTCCGAGCTTGTCAATCCAGAAGATTTGTGCATTGCTGAACATAATGGCATTTTATTGCCTAGTTTATTTCTGTCTAGCATTCTAAGACTCCTGCTGGTGCTTTGACTCAGAGTAGTTTTTGGTTTGGAAACATGAACTCCAGTGTCACAGATGACTTCTTTCTTTTAGTAATTCATATTATTTTTTTATTAAATGTTCAAGAAAGAAAGTGTTTGGCCAGACAGAAGTTGTGTTTCAAACTGTGAACATCTAAGCATCAGTGTGTGAAAATTGTAGCCTTTATTTTTGTTCCCCTCAGTCTCTTATTGGTGCACAGCCAGCTTGTTTCTAACAGAAGTTTAGAATATTGTAGTTAAGCTTAACTACACTGCAGTACCATAACAGGTCTTTCACCTTACTCAGTTGTGAAGCAGTAAACCATAGCCCTTGTTCATGCAAAAGGATGGATGTTCAAATTCAGAAGTCCCCACTGAAGACGAGCAGACTACCCTGTGCTTGAAGTTAGGGCATTGTATTTGCAGAATAATTTATGCAGATCAACTATGGCCATTACCCAAGACTGCGTATAGCTTATTGCAGGACAAATACAGAAATATTTCTACAGTTTCTGTCAGAACACTTGCACATAGGGACAGGTATTACAGTAAAACTAGATTCCAGAGACATCTTTATATAAATACAAAAGAAATGTGAAAATTCCTACTTTTGGAGCAGAAATAAGCTTAAACGTCATTTCTTATGCAGTAAAATTTAGTTTTTCCTTTATAAAATAACATATAAGGTTGAGAATTTTGGCTATGACATTCCACATCCAGTTGTAACATTGTAGACATTTCATCTTGTATCTTTCTTTATGTGGAGCTATAAATATCCATCAGAATATTTACATCTCTTCAGTAATTTAAAATATTAAAAACAAGGGCCGATTTTCAACATAGTTGTCAAATGGTTTCAGACCTTCACATACATTTCTATATACATACACCAGTTAGTAGTATCCCACCATACATACTCATACCATGCAGCTTGTTCCTGACTGAAGCAGCATGTGAAAGGGATATACAGTTGTGTCTCGCGTGAATATCAAACACGAAAGCATACATGCATGAGCAAATCCATGGCATGTGCTTGTGGAAAATAATATTTCTAGAATTTATTTCATTAAAATAATGCCTGGGATGCACTTTGCATTTTACAAATGGAGTTTTTGCGTCCTGCCTGCACGACACAACAGAGTGCTGTGTTTGGGATTGCAGATCAGGCTATAGGTAATTTATCTCAGGTACTCCACATACGTAGTTACCCAGGAGAAAAGCTAGTGGTGCTGTATATGCTTTTTCCAATAAATGAGCAGGCTCATTTAGAATTATTGCTAGGATCTTGTTGTGGCACTGCTTTGTGGTGTGTAGACGTACCTTGGAGAAGAATTACATATAAATCACTCATAATGGTCTCAGGCTGGAGTCTTTCATTTTACTCAGAAACTTGCACAACCCTTACTGGCCATTATGTTCTAACCAGATCCTAATGCTGTTCTATAAAATCTCTACTTACATGTTATCCAAATAAAATATTCTGAGTTTTAATGAGTGAAACTTCAGTGCATTTTAATCCTTAAAATGCACTAAGCTAATTTGTGAATGCCCCTTAATTATAAAAAATTGAAGCCTGAAAATTAAGTCCTGCACATAGATAGTAATTATTTTCATAGCTATTATTTTTACCTCCCTAACATATAGAAGGGGAAAATGGCCAGTTGTGGTTAGGCCAGAGGCCTTAATGGAGGGTTATAGTCCCCACACTGCCATTCTCATCTGCCAGTGAATTTGGATGAGTCATTCAATGTCTGTCCACAAAGTGTCCTTACCTGCCTAACAGAGTTTTTTGTGGAGATGAGCTGTTGACTCTTAAGGCACTGAGGAACTTAGAAAAATATTACTGATGTCGTGAATCTCCCTAATGGTCTCATAACTACCATTGGAGCACTTGACCAGCCTTCTGTCACCACTCCTTGATTGCAGATACTGAATCAAGTATTTGCTGTACCTTCATGTTCCCCTGCCTTAGATCATATGATATTCTTACACCAGTTTTATAGATATTCATGTCCCTCCTAATGCTTAGTCGTAATAGCATGGATGTATAAACTGAAATACTTCCAACCACTCAAGGGAGTTTGGATCAAATTAGCTTTTGTAGAAAATGGTGTCATGTAATACTAATCATATTTTTTTTTCTCTGGGTATGTCCTGTTCCTCCAGTCTGTTAGCCTTGCTTTATTCTAGTGGACGTTAGTGAAGTGTAAATTTTTTCATATTATGCTAATTAAAAATAGGCCTACCAACACGCTATGCAGTACAGAAAGTGTCATTTTTCCATTTCTTCATATGTGCTCTTAGACATGTTCTTTTCTCATTTGCCAGATTTTACCCCCATGTCATATATACCGTACAAAATCATCCTTTTGAGCCTTTTTTGCCCCATTTCTCCACATTCCCACAACACATACTCAGCAGAATATCTAGCATGCAACTAGAGAGTCATGGAAGCTTGATAAGTCCTTGTCATAACAGTAGTCCCTGACATTTAAAGAACTTCAGTTTATATTTGCAAACCAAATTTCATACCTTCATACCTCTTTTGATTAATCAAAGCTAAACCATTGTATATGTGAAGGGGCCTCTTGTGGTTTCTGAGTAAGTAGTATGGCTTTTCTGGCAGAGAGCCACAGGCAATTTAGTAGGCACATATTGTGGGGGTTGAGAGGAAGAGAGACAGGGATAATCCAGAAAGCTCTAAGAAATGCTGAGTGAAATCAGTATTGCTCTACACAGTGCAGGAATTTTGTGTATTTTACCTTTGTCCACAGTGAAAACTTTTTGATGTGTGGTCAGTAAAGCGATTCTGAAGTATAGCACCGACTTGGTTTTCTCCTCGCTCGGCTAGCTTTGCACTGCTTTTGCTTAAGCTAAAGTATTCCCAATTTGCACCTGTGGTAGAGGTAGGCACAGGGGATTTAATATGCACAGCATACAATTAAGTATCATAGACATCACTAAATCATTACCATAGGAATAACTCTAATATGGATCCTAGTTGTCTTCAGAAGTAATAAACTTTGATTTTGCAGCCTAAATGTCAAGATGAGGCTTTATCATGTAACTTGCCTGAAAGCTATAGAGCTGTAAATAGATACTAACATAAAAGGTCTGTCTCCAGCAGAGCTGATCTCTCTTTCCATTTCTGACAGGGGTCACATAACCAATGTAAATTACCACCATAAACTAAATTCCACCTCTCCAGTAGAACAAAGTGCTTGATCTTCCTGTCTAGAAGCCAGAAGCTATGCAGAGAGCTGTAATATTTCAACAATTCGGCATGAGTGGCAACCTGTTCTTAATAATGAAACACTGGCAACATTTAATTTCATTTCGTCTCAACATATTAAAACTTATCTTTTCTTTCGGGGTTTTAAGAACTATTTGAAGGGAAGCTGAAGACAGAGTAATTCAAGTAGAAGCGCTATCTTGCTCTGTATTTCATGCAAGATTCAGGTTCAACCTGCACATCCTGACGTCAGTAGGAAATGAGTTACTCTCAGAAAAGGATAGCCTAGACTTCTCAAGAAGAATGTGAATTCTTCTCAGTTTTATCTGTCATTTTGATTTAGTCACAAAAGCAAATTCAAATATACAACATTAGCCAGGTCAAAAGAGTTAATGCATTTTAGTAGAAATGGAATTACAATTTAAAAATTTAAACTATTATTGCCAAGTTTTTTAAGTTATAACGATTTACATGGATGTTTTAAAACTAAGCTATGAAATGCTGTTAGAAATGACATCTAGACTGGAAAGCATAACTTGAAAGTAGATTCTTAGAGTTATATAGATACAATATCTTGAATTCAGTCTCAAAGGTCCCAGAAACCGTAGAACACAGCACTTACTTAAAAAACTGTCCGACAGACACGTCACAGAAAATTTGGCCCCAGTTCAGTACGTGACTGCCTAGAATATTTTACACGCTCCTTGTTTTATATTAAAGATGAATTCAATGTAAATGTTTGGAATTCTTCTTACAAACTTGCTGAAAAGGGACAGTATTTTAGCATGACTCCCTTGTACAAATCTGGTGTTTAGCAGATTACGTATGTTATTCTGTTATAGGTACACTACAGTGATAGACAAAATGGCAAAGAGTGTATGACCTGTTTGACACTGTCACCTGTGCAGATGACTTTCCAAGGTATCGGAAGCTCCATTGAAGCCAGCCATGACCAGGTATAATACCTTCACCCCACACTCTTGTGATTTTATTAATATCTAGTAAGGCCAGAATGTCAGAATTAGTAAATTTTAAATTTCAACACATCTTGTGCTTTTCATATGACATGTTCTTGTCACTGGGCTCTGGTTAGCTTGCCATAGTAAAATCCTGATCTAAAGAGAGACCCGAAAAGGGAGACAAAATTGTATTTACTTTTACATATTTTTAAGACATATTAGGAAAGCCTGAAGAGCTTACTTTGGTTTTAAAGTCAGGTGTAAGGTTTCTGCAAAAGTTTTGTTTGACTTATGTATGTATCAGGTCTTGTCTATCCTATTTTTGCTAGAAGATTGTGGGTAGCCGGAAAAACAGAGATGAAGCCATCATCTCTAGCCATCATCTATCACAAGAAACTGGCATCTGAGAGGAGAAAGAGATATTTATTTGAACTGTGTAAAACTCCCATTTTGTTTGGCTGCTCTTAAAATGTTTAATTCAAGTTTCTGGTGGAAAGCCAGAAGAAAAAATGAATCTCAGTGTTAATCACTCATCACACTGCTGCTTCAGATGGGAACTGAGAAGGACTTCCATTGTAGTCTTCTTGACCTCCAGCACTCGTACAAAAGCAAGACAAGACTTTGATACTCCAAAAGTTTTAAAAGGAATCAAGTAGAAGGAAAATTTAAACCAAACCTTGCACCTTTCAGATCTTCAGTAGATTGGAAAAAGTACCATTTTTATTAGCCTCTGCAGGCCATCCTTAAATTGTGCCATGTTCACATATACCGTACGTTTTATCAAACTCTCTGTAAGTTTCTCTAAGGAAAAGGAAAAGTCATCTCAAGAATGATCAGAGTTAGTCACTTTGGGGGAAAAATTTTCAACACCCTTAGTCACGTTTTAAATTATTTTGTGGTTTGTTTTTGTTTTTGGTTTAGTGTTTTGTTTGTTTGGGTTTTTTTAAATTGGAAGATTCTAAGTTAGTTCTTTACATAAAATAAGCCCATTAGTTATTTATGTGGTAACATGAGGATATTTCATGTCCTTGTTTGGTGTTTTACAGTAATGGAGAGCTGTGGTAAGTCAGACCATACTTTGACATTAAGTTCTCATTTCATCCAGCAACTTGTTTATGCAGTTCTAAAACAACACCATTTTTCTTTTTGGTAAAGATTTCCTTTTAAAATCTTGTTATAACTCAAATACACTATTTAGACATTTCAGTGAATTTAAGGTGGTCCCTGTCAATTTGGTAACAACTACATTCTGGGCTACCAGCCAGCTTGGCCTTTGTCTTAGCATTTATTTAGGCTAGAGTATGATATGTAAACAGAAAAAGACTTTGTAAGCAAAAACCACATTTAAGCCATCTGAATAATTATATATTTAAGATATCTAAATGAAAAACTGTTATTGAGCCTGCAAAGTCAAGCACCTAGAAATTAGGAAATTCTGGATTATGTGCAGCGTTAGTTTGATCTCAAGTGTATCCATTCAGTGCTCCAAAGAGGATATTTTTCTGAGAGAAAGGAAAAAAATGCGTAAAATCACATAGATTGTAATGTGCACAAATAGGTATGATTAAGTTTGCTTGGGCCATTATGTAGCTAGAATTTTCTAATCTTGCTTCAATTTGAAGTTTCAAAAATGTTCATCATTGGTTTTAGTTATATAATTTCCTGCAAGGTTCTTAAAAAGGAAAGAAAGTGTTTTGTCATTGCAGGATGGGGTGGTTGTTGTGTTACTGAAAGATTTTCTCCGAGCTGAGAGCGAAAGAAAATAGTATCTAAAAGTCAAGTGCCAACCAGGGGGTCACAGAATAGATCCGCATACTGGACAGGATTCACAACCTTCTGCTCGTCCCCTTCCTAAATATCAAAGGAGTTCCACTTTCTGGGGAAGAGGGCTGCTATTGACTGGTTGTGTTTGATAAGGGAAGTGGCAGGACTGGATTGGAGCAGTATTTGCTGTCACCTGAGTAAAAAATAATCCTTAGCAAACAAACAGAAAGCACATCAAGTGTTTGTCAGACACTGGTATTTATTGATTAATGACAAAATTAGAGGTCTTAATGAACTAACTAAAACAAATTCAATCTCCTTTTCTTTCTTGTTTCTGTGTGATTAATATGATTTTGCTTGGTTTTGTGCAATTTTCCTCGCAGCAGGTTTATTTGATACCATTGTTCTTATAAAAATAGGAGGCAGAACTGCTGGACATTTGTTAAGCTGAATTAGTGCATGACAGACACACACTGTAAAACTTAAGTTCTAGAAACTCCTCTTTCTAATTTAGGCAGTCTCTTACTTTTAAATGTTCTCATTTGGCTGTGTGGTAATTAGGATGGACTAGTCAACTGAAAGCCCGTGATTTCAATGGAGGCATGTTGATCTGTGTCAGCTATGAGGGCTCGCATAGTTTGACTTCAGGATCAAGCACTTCTGTGCTTCTGAAGATAATTCTTCTCATGTTCATTTTAAAATATAAATTACATAATTTATATTTTTTAAATGGAAGACTCTCTGAATAAGACTTAAGAATAGTTTGTGGGAAACTGTTGGAATCTGTTGTATCTAATAAAAAAGCTGAATACTATGTTTGTCACTATATGCGAACCACAGCTGACCACATACCTTGATCAAAAAAAGAAACAGAATTGGAAAAAAAAGCAAAAGAGGTTCCAGGTGACATCTCCAGCACTCTAATCCACCTTCTAGACTGGACTTGTGTTTTGCAATATATCTCTCTACTCATACCCAGTAGGGGACTTGTTATCAATGCAGATACCAGTGTGGTTACAATCTTACCTAAGTATATTATCTTGCTTTTTCAAATATGCCAAGACTTGACATATCAGTTTTTCAAGTCTCTTGCTATTTTCCTATACTCTGTAGGGAGTTTTCATTCTCTAGTTTGCGATTTTAATGAGTTTAATTTTTTTCCCAACGTGCATACTTCATTTGAGCAATTTCAGATTAAAATAAACATTTCATACTGGTACATTAATTAGTGTGCATTTCAGATGTCTGATTAACAAGACGTATCTCATTTAGTCAAGAAGCAGTATTGTGGAAGCAATTGCTGGTCTTTTTTTTTTTTTTTGGCAAATTGTTAAAAAGGGAAACATTCCTAAAGTACCACTGCAGTCTAGCCTGCCACACGTTTTGTTGGGTTTTGCATTCAGGTGTGCAAACCTCTTTAGTACAAGTTTAATGGCTTTTAGAATATTGTTTTCCTTTTTGTTTTCTGTTTCTCAGTATCTGACTATAGCTATAAATTTCTCTTTCCTTAATGGCTACTATTCTTTGGGGGTTTTAAGTAGAGTTTAGTTACAAGCAGCTTGTAGTTAAAATAGGCACCACTTTCTAGTGACTTTGTCAAGCAAAACTGAGGTTGTTCTTTGTGGTAATGAATCCTGGCATTTTTTATCTTGCTGTGAGACTGGAGACAACCTGTTCTCAGGGCTTTAGGCATACAGTGTGAAACTGAGGAATTAATTGAATGTGGGTGATATAAAGTAACTGAAAGGAAGCCCAGGTAGTGGTTTATTTCTGCCAATAAGAAAAATCAAGACCTAAGGAGTGGAAGACAGAAAGGGAAAAATTTGAAGATAGGAGGTTATATAAGCAAAAATAGGTGGAATGTGGCAGAAAACTAAGAAAGTTCAAGAAAATGGGGCAGTGATAATGAGAGGAAGTTAAGCCTTGTTTAGGTTCAACAATGCCAAGTGCTGGGTCCTAGCTTGGGTCACAACCCCAGGCAACACCAGAGGCTTGGGGAAGAGTGGCTGGAAAGCTGCCTGGCAGAAAAGGAACTGGAGGTGCTGGTGAGCAGCCGGCTGAACATGAGCCACCAGTGTGCCCAGGTTTCTGAGAAGGCCAACAGCATCCTGGCCTGTAGCAGAAATAGTGTGGCCAGCAGGAGTAGGGAAGGGATTGTTTCCCTGTACTCACTGGTGAGGCCACACCTTGAATCCTGTGTTCAGTTTGGGGCGCCTCCCTACAAGAAAGACTCGGAGGTGCTGGAGCATGTCCAAAGAAGGGCAACAAAGCTGGTGAAGGATCTAGAGCACAAGTCTTATGAGGAGTGGCTGAAAGAACTGGGGCTGTTTAGCCTGGAGAAAAGGAGGCTGAGGGGCAGACTTTATCGCTCTCTGCACCTACCTGAAAGGAGGTTGTAGCAAAATGAATACTGGTCTCTTCTTCCATGTAACAAGCGAAAGAACAAGAGGAAATGGCCTCAAGTTGTGCCAGGAGCATTTTAGATTGGATATTAGGAAAAAATTCTTCACCAAAAGGGTTGTCAAGGACTGGAACAGGCTGCCCAGGGCAGTGGTGGAGTCACCATCTCTGGAGGTGTTTAAAAGATGCGTAGATGTTGTTCTTGGGAACATGGTTTAGTGGTGGCCTTGGCAATGCTAGATGAACAGTTGGATTCGATGATCTTAAAAGTCTCTTCCAACCCAAATGATTCTGTGATTCTAATATTAAAGTGGAAGAGGGTGCTCAATAACACGACTAAAATGAATAAAGACATTTTCTCTACCATTTAGTCTGAAAGTCTTCGAGACAGCCTAGATGCTACACCTTCTTAGCTTCTCAAAGTATTGAACACTGAATTCCTTGTTACTGATGCCAATAAATATCTTTCAGCTTTAGCTGGGTTATATGAAGAGCTCCTTGAATTCTTGAGCAGAGACATATCAAGAACTTTTAGTTAGAATATGTAACACTATCAGAGCAAGCTACTGAAGAAAGTAAAGATTTCTGTTTCCCCTAAAAATTTCTAGTCAATACCGTAAAGTTGTTAGAGGTGTGCTTCACTCAGCACGAATTATTAGACTCACTATAGTGGCAGCTAGGTTAAATTTGGTGGCCTGTGTCATACAAGATGGCCTGTCATGTAGTTTCACTCTAAGAAGTGACACTTCTGCTTCATCTTGAACAAACCAGTGTGAAACTCAGCTTCCACATTTGCCTGTGTATTTTGGAAACTTGCAATGTTACCATCTTTAGTGGCTTTGTAGC